TCTACTCGTTTCAGATTCTGAATGTGGCTCTAAATGTGTTCTGATTCAAGTTGCAGCATTGGATTATCTAGCTTCATTCGTATATACGTAGTTTTGTACGTAGAAGTAAAAATTATTTTCTCTTTCTTTTTTGCACTTGGTAGATTACGTAGGTTTAAATCTTTCTTTTCCTGTTTGTTGTGTACTTCGTAGGTTTAGTAGTAGGTTTTGCATCAACTATTAGTTTTATTTTTTGGATAAAATGTAAGTATATATATCCAGAAAAAGCATAGTACAATGCATCAAAAAGAATCACAAGAACTATCTAAGCTAGCATGCTAACCTAAAATAGTATCTAACGTATCTGCCCCTCCCCCCCCCCCCCCCCACCTCACGGTGAGGGGGGAGAGAGAGATTTTTCGAAGTCAAAAATGGCACGGGACAGGCCCCGGCTCGTAGCACAAAATCAACCACAACAAAAAGATCCAAAAACTAGCACGGGACAGTTCCCCGGCTTAGTATCAAAAATACCTCAAAAAACATCCAAAACAGATCCGGGCCAACAAAGGCCCATCCCTGGTAGAGTCCATCAGCAAAATCCAGCCCATCAGCAAGGCAAGCAGCCCCAAGCAAAGTTTCCGCAGCAGTCTCCAGCGTGCAAGGCCAGCTCAGCGTCCGAACAAGACGGCCCAAACCAGAGTAGGGTTGCGGCCCACACTCAAACAGCTGCCATCGCTTCCAGATGCGCCGCAAGAAGAGGCGGCCAATTCAAAATTCAAAAAGAAAGACGCTACAGTACACTGACAGAGCGGAAGTCGGCGGTCCAATCACGCTCAGGCCCAGTCAGGTCCCCGTTGACTGCTCCGACCAACCTTCCGGCGAAGCTCCGGCCAATGCATCAGCAACGGGAAATTCGGAAAACTACGCTCGCTCGTAGTATGTTCGCACCACCCCCACCCCCACCCCCAACCCCCCACCTGGTTCCGTCGTCTACCAGGCTTTCCGGTGGCCGGAGGAAGGAGACAAAGCCAAAGTATCAAGACGGAAGAGTAACAAAGCCAAACCGGTGATCCCCGTCCACCCTCCACCCCCGTTTGACTCCGGCGACCCCAAACGGCGAAGGCAGAAAGTGTTAGAAGGCGGCTTGACAGTAGCCGGAAAAAGGTAGATACAGGCGGTTCCAACCCCAGCAAGCCGGAGGTCATTACCGGCGATTCCTGGTCACTTTCAGCGGAAAAACGAAACGCAGAAACCATCCAAAAACCAAAGAAACCCAAACGAGAGACACTGTAATCGCACCAGTCTCCCCGGTCGTCTTCTCTGGCCCAAATTACTCAAACCAAAGTCACCCATAACGCAAAAACCCAAAGCTCAAAACTTTCAGAGCAAGACCCACCTTCAAACCTCCAAACCCGAGCAAAACCCAACCCTTTCGCCATCCTTAACCCCCCATCTCAAAGATTAAGCCATGGGTACTAACCGTTATTGAGCCAGAGCTGGTGTTTTCCGGCGAGCCTCATCTTCAAGCTACCAAGGACTCAGCAAAAGTGAAAATCGCGTTAGCTCCCCATGACCAACCATCCATCGCTAAGCCACCAAAACCAGGCCCGTTCACCACCGTCACACGCCCCCCATCTCAAAGAATGCACCCGGGGTTACTAGCTGCCGTCGGTGATGACAGAGTTTTTTCCGGCGAAGTCGAAGCCATTAGAGAACCAGGTACCAGCCTTCAAGCACCAAACCCCCATGCCAAACCCGTTCACCTCCGTCTCATGCCCACCCTCTCAAAGCAGTGTCCGGCGTTACTAACTGTCATCAGTGGTGGTTCTGCACTTTCCGGCCAGTTCCTGAAACCTATAGATAGCCAAGAACCGAATTAAAGCTTCATGAATTCACTAAGCAGACCAACCCCACGGAAGTGGTAACAAGATTCCAAAAAATTTCAAACAATGAAACGGAAGCCCGCCGGAGCCCGGAGGCGCCGCCGCCGCCGGCCACCGTGAGTGGTGCCGGCCTGAGCTCGAGAGGGAAGAATAGTTTTATTAATACTATGAAGTGTACACATGTGTTAGTTATTATGGTTTTAGTTGAATACATAGGTATGTTTTACTTATTAGGAGTATTTTAGTTTTAGAAAAGTCAAGTTTGTATTTTGTGCATTTTATAACTTAAAATAGTTATATAAAAATTAATTTTATATTAAAACGTTACTTCTATTATCGGACCATTTTTATCTGATTAAAACGTCGTAAACTTGAAAATTTTATCCGATTAGAATGTCACAGTTTGTTGATTTTTTTTGACTCACTTAATATTTACAATGTTATTTCCATAACATTTTATCTGACTAATAAAATTATTTTTATATATATATTTTTTTAAAATTTTTGAAGTGTCACAACCCAAGACCTCCAAAGTTAAGCGTGCTTGCACGGGAGTATTCATGGGATGGGTGACCCCTGAGAAGTTTCTCAGGGCACGCACGAGCGAGGATAAAGTTCGGGGAAAAGACTAGTGACAGTTTGTGAAAACAGTACTAGAGGTCAGAAGTAACTATCCGGAGCCTACGGGGCCGGGGTGTTACACAACTAAACTAGTTGCTTCGTCAGTTAAATATTAAATATGTCATCGTATTTCAACTTATGGATTAAAGTTTTGTTTTAGTTTTCTCAATTCAATTTTTGTCCTCTCAAAATCAAATCGGTAAAAAAATTGAATAGATATAGGACCCGAATGATGGGAAACTGTCAATTTAAAACTTGAATGATTGGAAATTATCAATTTAGGACCTAAGCTGTCCGAAATTTTATTAATTTTTTTATCTTAAATTTTTTAGATATTATTTATTTTATGAAACTAATAAACTTTTGTGAAGAAAAGTTTATAAAAAATTAGCAATAGAATTAATAAAAAATTAAATAAATCAAAACTTGTGAAATTTTAGGTCCTAGATCGATAGTTTTTCAACATTCGGGTCTTATATTGATATATCTCATCTTTCAGGTCCCGAATTGATAATTCATCTATCTTTCGGGTCCTGAATTGATAAAATTCCAAAATTGAACTTTGCAATTCCATTCTCAAAATTGCATCAAACAATACCCTGACATAATGATTATTTTATGAATATTACCCGAAATGGGACTAAGTGGAGGGCGAGTATTCACGTGAAGGAGTGATCTTGATAATTTTTTTCCCTCGTCTTTTTTTTCCTAGTTTTTTTTATCCTTATATATATAAGCATTATTTGCAGCCTTTTTATTTTATCATTTTTATATATATTCATCTTTTTTTATATTATCTTTTCATAATAGCTTATCTTTTTATCTTTATTCCTTGTTTTCCTTTTGGTTGTGATATCATGTATCGATTCATGTTAGCCGACCCCAATATCTTTTGGGACTAAGGCTTGGATGTTGTTTGTTGTTGTATTACCCGAAATAGGACTAAAATAGTTTAAAAATTCCAAAATAGGATTGTCATGTTTTTATTCTCAAAATAGGACTAATTACTGTCATGTTTTGGCAGTAACAGACTTCAAACATGATAGTATTTTCTAAATAGTGCAGTAATTAGTCCTATTTTGGGAATAAAAAATATGACAATCCTATTTTGAAATTTTCAAACAGTTTTAATCTTATTTCGAGAACTTTCCCTTATTTTATTTATTAAAGTAACCCCATACTTTGAAAGGAATTGAAAAAAACTATCCATAATAATAATAATAACAGTAAAACATGAAATAGTTTCACAAATAATCGTGATTGTGGGTGATGGAGTATATGGCCCGGGAACCCCCGACCCACAGACTCCTACTACACCAATAAAGGCCCAACCGGCTCAGGAAGCACAGCAGGCCCCAAATTATGGCACCCCAAGCACTTAGCAGCCCACAACACACACTGGGGAGCCTTCGGCCCCCTGGCCGAAGGCTCAAAACTCTCACACAACTGGTTTTTCAAGCAAACTAAGAAACTGGGAGAAAAACGGCAGAAAACAGTAGCCCTCGGCACCTGGAGCCCTCGGCACCCAGGGGGTCCCCGGCACTCAGAGCCCTCGGCTAGTCCTCTGCAGCCGAGGACACCTCTCTCGACATAATATCCGTGCCACATGCGTACAGATCACCGTACCCTGTACAACGTCCCATCCAACAGCCGCATTAAATGCGGCCACATGCGGCTGCCAGCGCCAACCAGTTGAGGTGACCTCCCGGCCAATGGGCGCTTGACACGTGTCCATGTCCGGCATTTATTGCTACTATAAATAGCACCCCATTTCCCCATTTGTAACCAAGTCATAACACGCTGAAAACGCTCCACACTTATAATATACTTTCTCTCTCTATATTTACTTGCTCTGACTTCTCTCTTATTACTCCCCGTAATAACCCCTCGGATAAGCTACCCCCCGGGTACACTATCCATCAGTGGGGTGTTTGGAACTGATTCTAATTCTGCTTCTTTTTTAAAGTAGAAGCAGAATCAGAATCAGTTTTCAGAAACTGGTACCCCCCAAACTTCTAAAAAAACTGATTCTGAGAGTAAATTAGAGCACCAGAAGTACTTCTGGAATTTCACCCAAACATTCCAGCTTCTGCTCCCTGAAGAAGTATAATCAGTTTTGAGAATCAGATCCAAACACCCCACACCCCATGTGTCTCTTTTCTAAAGACTAATGTAGTAGGTACATACTAAGTTTTTCGTAGTATTTACTCAGTCCAAATAAAAGAGTAATAACAAATACGGATTACTTCCTAATTTTTTTGCTAAAACTAAATAATTCAAAACTGAACATTTTTTTTGGTAATTATTACGAATTACGAAGTATGACTTACTAATAATTCAAAACAATAATGTCGACATTTGGAATTACGGTGAATTTAATTAGTGAATTTAATTAGTGAATTTAATTAGGGAGTGACTCTATGCAACTGCAATGAACTTTAAACTCAATCATAATGTCGACATTATTCGTCCCCAGACTGCACACGTGGCACTTCCCTTCTTCTGTTCAAACTCCAATCCCACTCAGCCATAAATTCCAAATTAAACTTTCTACCCGGCTGCCCTATATATTAACCCTTTCAGGCCTTAGATTTTCCGCCGATTTTTCCACACCGAAGCAAATTAACGTTTCGATCTCCGGCCATGAAGATGTTCTCGGCCAGGTTCTTTTTCATTCTTTTAATGATTCCGGTCCTAGTCGTCTCCGCCGCTGAAGACTGCAGTGGTGACTCCGGTTACGACGGACGGGACCGGGTCGAGGCCTCCAAGTTTAAGGCCATAGCCGCTATTGGGATTCTTGTAGCCGGGATACTGGGTGTCTTTTTCCCGAACATCGGGAAGAAATTCCCGATGTTCCGCACCGACAGCAACATGTTCTTCCTCGTGAAGGCATTTGCTGCCGGCGTGATCCTAGCCACCGGTTTCATCCACGTGCTCCCGGACGCTTTCGAGACCCTCGGCAGCCCTTGCCTGCCGGAGAAGCCCTGGAGCAAATTCCCCTTCCCCGCCTTCGTGGCGATGGTGGCCGCCTTATGCACGATGATGGTGGACTTGTTCGCGACGAGCTATTTCCGGAAAGCCCAATTGGACAACAAGCCCAAGCCCGTTGACGAAGAAAGCCCGGCCCAGCCTCATGCGCAAGTGCCCATTCACACGCACGCGACCCATGGGCATGCTCACGGTTCGGTTGAGCCTTACAGCGGCTCTGATCTAACACGGCGGCGCGTCATCTCACTGGTATCTTTTTACAAATTAAAATCTTTCGATAGTAATTCATGAGAAAATTATTAAAAAAGTGGACCCGTACTTTATTAATATGGAGTATTCTTTACATAATTTATACTCCGTAGCAAGTAAACTATTAAACATAACATCAATAATGTTCTGTTACGGGAGTCACTTTGAAAAAGTTTTTTTGTCTTTGTTATGGTAATAAATAGTTTATTGTTTATTAATAAGGTGTTTGGAATTGATTTTACATCTGCTTTTTTTAAAGCAAAATTAGAATCGGAAATAGAATCAATTTTTCATAAGTTGCTATCCTCGATTTCTAAAAAAAACTGTTTCTAGGATCATTTGGAACATCAGTACTACTGTACTTGCATCCAAATATTTCAATATCTCTTTGTGGTGCTTTCTGAAAAAGTATAAGCAATTCCAAGAAATAAATTCAAACACGCTTAAATGAGTCTAGTTTTATTTAATTTTAGATGGAGAGAGTAATATTTGGTGACATTTGTATAGGTTCTAGAGATTGGGATTATTGTTCACTCAATAATTATTGGGATATCTTTGGGGGCATCTGTGGACGTTGACACAATTAAGCCCCTACTAATAGCTTTGACTTTCCATCAACTCTTTGAAGGCATGGGACTCGGCGGGTGCATTGCTGAGGTATCTTTCACTTCATATTAATATCTTTCACACATGATCTTTACGAGACTACGAAAGTTTTAGTTTAATTAAAAAAAATCTCAATCATAGAAAAATTGTCCTAAATAAGATTATTTTATTTGGCAGTAATTAGCCCTAATTAGTGAATATAAAATAAAAATCCTATTGTAGAATCTCAGTATAGTATTATTATTAATATTATTATTTTATTTGAGAGCTAATGCGAGAAAAAGAGTTTGGGGTTCAAAACAACTATTTTTATGTCATAATTGCATATCTATGTCCAAAATAAAGTTTTTTAGAAAATAATGTGACTCCTTAAATGTTAACTATAATAGTAATTTTAGTAACAGTAATTTAAGTATAATTTTTACACTTTAGAAACAATTACACTACACTCATAATAACGTTAGTCATATTTTTGTAAACCGTACAGGCACAATACGCAGCACGTGCCACAATATTAATGGCAATATTCTTTTGCTTTACAACTCCAATCGGAATAGCAATTGGGTTTGGGATTTCAGGTATCTACAACGAAAATAGCCCAACGGCCTTAATTGTGGAGGGCTTGTTAAACTCAACCTCGGCTGGGATTCTGATATACATGGCCCTTGTAGACCTCATTGCAGCAGATTTTATGAGTGACAGGCTTCAACGCAATTTAAAGCTTCAAATTGGAGCTAATATATCACTTCTACTAGGAGCAGGCTTAATGTCACTCTTAGCCATTTGGGCATAATCATTAGTATATATACAAGATTATGAGAAAATTAACATCTTCTCTCTACATGATATAAGAATAATTGTAATTATGAGAAATCAAAAACTTACATCTTGTGATAAAAAGAGCATTTTGGATAGAATTAGTTAGACTCTTTTTGTGACGTTGGATATAATTAGCTTTTACGTTAAGTGATACTCATGTAATTTCCATGTGTATGTTTGTGTTTTTAGTTAAGTTTGTTGTTTGATAATTTGGAAATTATACACTTTTGGTGTAATAGTTATGTTTGTGAAATATTTGTAATTTGTTTAGATTAGGTCTATTCTTAGCTAAAACAGGTCCAAGATTAATCAAATGATCATTAGTGAACTCCAAAAGAGTAAGGAATGTGCAAGAATACAAGACAAGAAGAAAAGATACTGATTTTGACTTGTACTCGGTCAGATATACCCTATAACTGATCGTTTACCAACCTTATTTACAATCGAATAAATCCAGAAAACAAAGGGACGTGCAAGGAAAGATTTGGTCACGATGTATTGTCATAGCCGATCGGGTACACCGACACACCTGATCGGGTATGCCTATAAATTTTATTCCAAAGTCGATCGGGTGTGCATATGGTACACATTTCGGAAGATACCCGATTGGGTACCTTATATATACCCGATTGGGTACCTTATTATATATACCCGATCGAGTACAAGAACCTGCGGCCCAAAAGCCTATAAATACACCTCTTTTCTTTACAATAAAATGACCAATTCACATATACTTCTAAGCTCAGTTTAGACAAGTTCTTTCTTTATATTTTCATCATGTTTAGTTTCCAAATGAGGAGCTAAACTCTTCCATCTTGGTTTTGCTACTTTGAAGCTTAATGGATTGTAAGTTGTGAGTTATTTTTCTTTAATTGTCTTCCTTGAATATTTATTATTCCCTTAATCTATCTCTATATTAAAGTTGGGGAGTTTTGATAAGATGACAATTAGTTAACATCTCGACATTAATTATAGTAGAATTTATTTTCTTTAATCTTCTTCCTTGAATATTAATTAATTCCTATTCATATTTCATATTAATATTTTGAGCATTACTTAAAGGAACAACTATTTTTGTTTCATATATTAATTATTACTAGAATCAATCGATTAATACGCTTGTTATTAATTTGGTTCTTTCAACGGTAGTAAATTTGGATTATTAATGCATGTGTCTCATAGTTAATAATCTAAGAGGAATTAATTATATTGATTAAACCAATAAACCGTTTGTGTTGAGGTTATCAATATCAATCGTTTTCCTCTTAAGTTTATTGCTACTATCGGGTTAATATACGGTGTGTGTTCTATATTGACTCGATAGTAAGTTTTATTAATGAACGCGTCTCGTAATCTCGTTATTAATAACTATCCTCGATGAATTGGATATATTACTCGATTGAGTATTCGAGAGGAAGATAGTTAAAGATATCACCGGGATCGACGAACATTTCATTAAGTGGATACAAGCAAAACCAAGTCTTCATCTCAATTATGTAAAACACATAAGTCATTCATCTTAGTGTTTAATATATTTTAAGTTCAGTAACAATCTAAAAACCCCCTTGTTATTAGTTACATAAAAGATAAATATTTCTTTCCCTGCGGATACGGACCATACTTCATTATACTACATATAATCGTTGTATCGATTTATAATTTTGACGCACATCACGACAAGTGGTTGCAACACACAATACGGGGAGTTTGTGGGCCAGATTTTGAAGTCCAACAAGTGGTCAACAACATCAATTTACTCACTTTTTTCTTCAACTTTTCTCCCTATAGAAAATACAATTATTAAATATTGTAGCCATATATATATATATATAATTAATTTACAATGCATATTAGTGTGATAAATTACCAATTTTCTTTTATAGTCAAATGTGGTAGAACGCCCGCCATGCCATTGGATCTCCTTCGCCTTATAGCAGTTTCTGTTCATTTTCCCCGCTTCACTGTATTTTTTAAAACTAGCATTGGATTCCCAATGTTATAAATGAGCCTCCCAAGCATTGTCCGTAACTCACTCCGGCTTGACATTTTTGTATCCGGCATGGGAAAATGTAGAAGTGAGTCACTGGCTTGCCTGAGAATGAAAGTTTTTCCTAATATCATCCATCTCATTGGGATTCCACATATACTCATGCTTCATCAAATTAAATATTATTATTTAACATACCTAACGACTCATTTTACAAAATTTGTCATTATAGGAATATGACTTAGTAGGCTAATAATAAGAAATAATAATAAAAAAATAAAGTACTTGTAGTAGTATATTTAGAAAGGAAGGGGTTATTAGTAAAAGCTGACATATCCTTATGTGGATATTGGCTATAAATAGATGGATTAGCAACCGTTATAGGTAGGCTGTTATTGAATTGAGTGTTGCCTTGGAGAGTGGGCTTCTCGAACAGTCTCATTGCTGCCTTGTTACCTACGGATTATCTTCCCTATCAAATAAACTTCATTATCTCTACTATTTTGATCGGATCTGCTATTTCCTTTACTATTTTTCCTGTATCTTTGCTATTGTTCTATCAATGGTATCGGAGCAAATCACTCCTGGAGTCTTATTTGATCATCGCGTCTTTATCGCAGAAGAGGAAGAGTAGTTATTCGCGAAGTTGAGATACGAGCGAAGGAAGATGGTCGCTGAGCAGAGCAGAGAACCGCGACGATCATAACTGGATGCCTTTGGTTCGAAACGGGATATGCGATCGAACCGGGAGAAACGTTCGAACAGGGAGAGGAAATCCGCGATGGAGAACATCCATGCATCCATGGCGGCGATAAATGAACGGTTTCAAACTAGAGGAAGATCGCACTCGTCTCAACATCGGCGAACAAAGGAATCGCTGCACCAAGCTGCGTCGGAAGGTAATCTCGATTATGCTCACACTTACGCACTGAATCATAGAAGATATGAGGAGAATAATAGAAATCCAATTCACACAGGAAGAAAGGTTGAACTACCGTGGTTTAACAGGGATAATGCAGACAGTTGGATTGTGAGGATGGAAGAATATTTCCGTCTCAAAGCTACCGCGGAGAAAAATAAAGTTGAAATAGCAGAAGGAGCGATGGAGGACAGGGTGTTTGACTAGTTTCTATAGTGGCAATTTGAGACGAGAGAATATAGTTGGAATGCTCTGAAGGGGTCCATAAATTGGCATTTCCAGTCTATATGCAGTCTGAAGACAGGGAACCAGTGTACGCAATCATCGCATCGTCCGGCTTCTCACTTTTCGCAGATGCGAACTAAGTCTTCCAGTGCATCGCTGTAACACCCCCATTTTTATGAGCTAGTTATATTAATCAATATTAATATTTATTTGAATCAATTAAATGAGTTTCTTCTATGAATAATGTGATATTCTTTTACGATGTTTTGTTTGTGGCAGGTAACGTTAATCGGGAAGCTCAAACAAAATTTAATTGACGAAATAATTAATATTATATATTTTATTAATAAATTTGGAAGCGAAGATTTAATCAATCCGTTAGGCCAGTTTCATTATTTTTGGGCCGTGTCACACAAATCAGTTATCTTGGCCCGAATCAGTATTTTACTAAAACCCTAAGGAAAAAAAACGACTTTACGTAATATTAGAAACCAAAGAATAGGACCTACGTTTCTATCCTCCCATCAGCAACCGCCCTTCTCTCTGGCAAACGTTTTCATCACATCCAATTTGCTATCAAAGTTTATTTGGTTCTGAATCAAATCTCAAACCTGGTAAGTCAATTTCCTTTTTCTCTCTATTTCTAATTGTTCTTTTAGGCTTGTTGAAAAGCATGAATTCCTGCAAGTTTGGTTTGCTTCTTTGATCAAATTGGGAGAATTTGCTATGCCTTGATTTTAGGGAGGGTTTCAGGTTTAGGTTAGAGTTAGTCCGATCCATTTTAATACAAAGTATTGCAAATGTTTAGCACATAAATCTCAGATTTCAGTTTTTGCTCCTTGTGAAATCATTCCCTGCACTTTCAAGCTCCATCTAGCAGGTTCTTGTAAATAAAAAGGTTTCCAAATTTTAAAAGTTGTGTTCTTTTAGTTTTCCGTAGAAGAAACATAGAAGAATTCCATTTTTTTTCTTGTATCCAGAATTAATAATCACGGTTGGTGCTTAACCAGATTTCTAAAACAACAAAGTCAGATAGCTCTTATTTTCTTTTAAGCAACTAACCGGGGTAATAGCAAAAAGGCTACTGAATTGGACTTTTGGGTCGGCACTTTTAACAGAAATATAGATTTTCAAATTACAGAGTATTGGTTCTCAGTACAAACTGTTTCAGCTTTGCTTATAGTATAACAAGATTTAAGCATAATGTTATATTTAATATTTAATTAAAGATTTCAAAGAAGAGCCTACTAGAAGACGTTATCAAGTTGCAACACTTGTTTGAGTAAATTGAGTTCAGCTTCTATCGGGTAAGTTCACTACCACCTGTACATGTTTGTTCAACCAAATGAAAGAAAGAAGTCTGGTTGATTTTTAGTAGATGAATTTAGACTATTTGCTATTACGTGAGCTGGGTGAATTATTTGATGAGTTATTGAAATTGTTGCATTAAGTTATGTTTATTATCTGGCATAGTCAAGATTATGTCAGTGCTTTATTTCAAGATTTTAATGATGTTTTTTACCCAAACGTCACTATAAAAAGAACTAATATTTAAAGTGAAAGATCAGGTGATATGTACTCGGGAACAAGTTCCCTCAGATTATCAGTTTATCAGTTTCAGAGAGTCCGATATGTTTTGTGGGTCGCTCCCCTGAGCTGTCGGATTGGCGCCCTTGAGTACATATCACGGGCCCACAGTTAAAATTAGCCACAAAGAGTTTTACAGAAAGTTATTTTGAGATCTCTTTCAGAAAGTTTTACAGAGATGTTTTGAGAAAGAAATTTTGAGTTCTCTCTAGCAGTTTTGAGAAATTATTTTAGAAAATATTTCTTTTGGGATCTCTCTCAGAATTTATTTGAGAAGCTACTTGTTAGTTGTTTGTTTAGTGCATGCTTGTAGCCTAAATTTATCTATTGATAAATTAGCATAGACTTCTCAGATATTTTGTGGATCCATAGTGATTTACTAAGCGTAAAGCTTATCAGTTTTCTTTCTTCGCATGTACAGATACTAAAGGTAAGGCCAAGGCCTAGGAAGATGATGAGGGAGTGGAACGCGTGCCGAAATGAGTTAACGGGAACAACCTTGACGGCTTCTACTAGTTATTATTTTATTTAAGTATTTCAGATGTTATAATAAAGTGATTATTATTACTTTATTTTAATTGAGGTTTTGAAGT